AAATTATCAAATAAAATTGTATATTCATATGAAAGATTGTGTTATCTACACATTTGATTGCATTGTGTACATAAGAGTTGTATTATCTACATATTCCTGTGAAGCTCCATAGATGCATTGTTATTCTTCCGTTAATTCAGATGTAAAAAAGTTTTAACAAGGGATCTGTTGATCGACTAGCTGTGACATTGTATTCCGGCTAGTCGGATGTTATGGTCGTCTTTTTCTTCAGTAGGGTCTGTAATGCACGTAGAATGCATATATATATATATATATATATATATATATATATATATATATATATATTATATATATATATATATATATATATATATATATATATATATATATATATATATAATGTATGTACATGTATATATATATGTATACATGTGTAAGTAATAAATACATACATACCTCAATTTCACTTAATGTTTGGGTCCATTGATATTTCTCTAAATTACAACCGTTACCAGCGTTTGGCTTTAACTTTCCTTTATCTTCTGGGTCTTCTTCCTCTTCTTCACCATCTTCTTTATCTTTGTTTTTGTTATTCTCTGTAGCATTCACACACATTGGTAATTATTTAAGCACCTGATAAATATGAAGAATACTATCATTACTTTTCACAAAGAAACATTTCGTTCCACTTTCATTCAATAAAGTTACGAAAAAAAAGCCAATGCAAATTTGATATCAACCTTCAGCCGTTGATGAAGTTTTTACACCATTCTTCATCTTTTCCAGCTCCGCAGCTTCTTCATCAGTGATTTCACGAATTCGTGGCTCATTCATCTCGGCTTCCTTAAAAAAATTTATCCCATAGCAGCCAGAATTCATATGACTAAATCTATCTAATCATTTCCTATTTGTCCTAGTATCTTCCTCAATTATGCAAGGATCTTTTCCATATAATCAAAGGCTTTAAATATCCGAAATTGACTGAAACACAAAGAAAGTGAGCAGAGTCACTATTCACACTTTATCATTCGTCCGATTTAGAAAACCAATTCCAAATCGAATTCGTTGGAAAAGAAGTATTGCGTATAACTTGACTGAAAAAAAAAGAAGAAATCTTCTTACTTCCCTCTCCATCTACTCGTTTATTCCAAGTCAACAAACGAATTGATACCTCTTTTGCTTTCTGTGCTGCTCGCCGTTCCTCCAAACGTTTTTGCTCCTCAGCACGTCGCTTTTTTGCTTCTTCCGCAACCTTCAAAACTAGCAAAAATGTAGCGGGAAATTTAAATTAAAGTTAAAATCTTTTGCCCTAAATATAACTGTTTCAATTTATTCTATCCAAGTATTTACCTTTTTCGCCGATTCACCATGTTTATTAAATGCCTTCAAAACCATTTCTTGAGCTTTCGTGATATCAGCACCAGTGTAAAAATCTGTTTTTCGCGAGAGAAAACTGAAATAAATGAAGTTTCAGAGAAAAAGACTGCGAAACTTTAATTTAAATGACAAAATAAACTGAGTATTATTCACAATGCTATCACGAATTATATCACTTAAAGTCGACTGAAAACAATGTAACTTCGAAAATACCAAAAATTGCATGATTTAAAACTTTAAAGGTCCGAGGAAGAACTTCTTAAGAAATTGATGAGTGATGAGAAGTCCATAATTTACCCGAATAACACATCCAAAAGCTGTGACACGCCACCTTCCATTTGCTGAGCCAAGCTGAGAAGGATAGTATCGTATTTACCGACTTCATCCATTGTTACTATAAATGCATCTTTAAAAAACTAATACGAAATCGATGCCTTACGCGTTCGTACCTAGCCTTTTCCCCTTTTTATCTTATCTATCTAGCTTTCCTCAGAATTGCTTGGTCCCACAGCTGAAAGGAACGCAAACTGATGTAGATGCTAGACTTAGAACATTTGATACTGAAAATTGTGGCAGGACTTGAATGATCCAGAACTGAAAAGCCGCAAGCAATGTACTAGAGAACATATGATTCTGTTCATGTACCAACTGGGACAACTCTCTCGAAGTGTTCTTAGCAATCGCAACTCACATCAGTCACTAATTTCGCTTTCCCCATTTCTCGTACCCTTTTTTATAGAATTTATCGCACGCAGAAATTATTTTAGCAGTGGCAGCTATTTAAATAACAACTCAAATATTTAAATACCAGAAAACTATTATAGGAATATAGCAACAAGCAATAAAGGAAAAAACTGACCTACACCGCATGCACTTGGCCATTCATAACTTCAAAACATAATTATGCAATCAATTACCTAATCTAACTATACGTTAATTATGTGCGAATATTTTACGTACGTAAAGCATTCAATTCTACTGCTCAAACTGCTATAAAATAAATGAACAAAAACTCACTTATACAAAATTAAATTGTCTTTTTTTTAAAGGCAGCAAAAAAAATTTCGAGTATTTGTAATTGTTGTTATTAACACATACAATTATTATTTAAAACTATCATAACTTATTTGTTAAATTTCTGCCCAACTTTAGTAAAAATTAATCCATACCCATCATACCTAAGCAAAATCTATTGAGTCAATTCTTACCCAATATATGATTTCAAGCAAGATGTTAAAGTGAAATGGGCAAGTTGTGGGCGGTTTTTTTAAAGATGTCTGCTACGGCCATAAGAATAAATTACGAGTAAATAAAGTAAGATTACTGCTAGAAACGGCAAATTACACGGAATCTCCTACCACCCTCCCGCGATTCATCAAACCGATTACGGATATGTTTTTGGGCAAGAATTAGCTAATGCCAGGTTGGTAAATCACGGATGGCATGCTCCTTTCTGTTTTTATAAATTACGGGTCAGTCATATGGGTAAGATAAGTAACATTTCTCACGTTATTTTGCGTAACGTTTCGTAACTGACGCTAGTGAGGGTTTTACAAATTCTGTTTTAGAATTGAACATGATTTTACTCAATAGACAATTTCACTTGATAGTATATATGATTAATACAACAAAAATTCTAAAAGCATGAGCAATAGAAGTTCAGTCATATTCTGTGCTATTTTTTTTCCAAAATAATTTCTGCTATACCTTTACACTTTATATTCTTCTTGGAAGCGAATTTTTTCTGGTATAAATGGTATGTAATTCGTTTATAAACTATCGTATATTTCAACATAGTCGATTCTTTTTTTTTAACATTAACGTTATTTTCTGCTTGATAAGTTAAATTTTATGTTGAGGGTTAGCATAAATTCACGTCAAGAAATGAAATTTTAGGCACAACTACTGATAACGTAAAATATAAAATACTTCAATACGACTAGGATTGTTTATTCATTCAATCTTGTTGTTGTAGCCAATGTAAATGGAATGTTTGATAATTTCAGGATCTTCCTTCAAAATATGAATTATTTTTGAAATTGGAACACAACTTGTCAATCAATCATGCCAAAGAAGAAACGCAGAGGAAATGAGTACATCCAAGGTATATGTATATATATTTATAAAATTGATAGATCCTTATAGCATATATGATTTTAGCTGTAAAAATGACACAGTTCATGATGAAATATTTAAAAATATTAGCACCTTCAAATTAACAGTGGCATAAATTGAATTCCCAGAGTTAGATAAGAATCTAAAAACAAGGGACACAGACGATGAAGTACTAAGCTATAGTTAGATTTGAAAATTTTCCTTTTATTTTGTGCTTATAAGCAATGAGTTGATTATGTGTTCATGATATTTCTTTTTTAACTTTGCTGTGTTTTAGAATTAGAAAGACAACTACAGAAATCAGTGAAGCATCAAGATGACCGAAAAGTATGCGATTTTTGTGTGGAACTTGGTGATGAGTACCGACGAATCGGTAGTTTGCACGATGCATTAAGTTATTATCAAAAGAGTGTGCAACTTGCTGAAAAATTAAAAATTTATGAAAATGCTGTTTTTGCTCACCGAGCCATCGCGGAAATCCTCGTTGATCCGGGTATATTTCTATAAAATTTTCATACTAAGGATAATTTCGATTTATATTAGTAGCTAGGATCGCATTAGTGAACTTATTTGGTTCTTTATGATTATACGTTAGATTTCCTATGGTACGGCCATGGCCACCGTATGCTGTATTCGTTGTGCATCACTTTTCCATTTTTTTTTTCTTTTACATTTCTATTAATATTATTTGATAATTCCACTTGATAAAAAGCTGGTTATTCAGGCTTTCAGAAAAAAAGCTAGAAGACAGAGTGTATTTGTTGTTATTGTGCTGGCTTGAGGATTTGAAAACGGTATGTTTATCTCTTAAGCATCTTGCATAAAGTTTCTTGTGTTTCAGGTATCCAAAAAAATACCAAGGCTTTAGAGCATGGGAAAAAATATCTGGAAGCAGCTAGTAGGTCTGGAAAAATTCACTTTATCCAACTTGCATATCACGTGCTTGGCTGGCTTCATCTACAAATCTATCTGAATTCGAATGCAAAGCAGGAATCTTTACTAGAAAAAGTGATGTATCCTTTGCTCTATTTTCAGATATATTTGCAACGAAGTGTCAGATCTTCGTAAAGAAAAAGCGAATTTTCATTAGTATTTTGAAATTCTGCCTGAATTATGTCAGAAATACAAATAATGAACGTGTTTTTAGGCTAAACAGTGGTGTGAAAAGAGTCTTGTTTATTTATCAAAGCATGCCTTAGATATTGATTGCGATAAAGAGTAAGGTTATGTCTCTTTTACTAAGCAAATTGAACTTATTAAGTTACGCGACTGTTAGCAACATCCGTTAGCAACTGTCAAATCAACTGTTATGCATAATTCTGATGAATCATGCATAACAGTAATATATGTACAAGATTAATAAGGCCTTTATAACGATTTATCGACCAGTATTTTCTCACCTCACTATATTTTTAATTTTTTTTAGATTTCATTAAGTGAACTTAAATTAAAGGTTACTTTGTCCAGTTTAGCGCGGTACGAATGGGGGAAGATTCGAGGTCAAGGAAAGCTCGGTTACAGCAAGTGCTTTCACAAATATGTGATAAGATGAATTTACAAAATTTATCATTACGTTACCACAATGCAGCAATGGCTTATGCAACGTATGTTATTTTGAAATTTTTGCTAATATTGAAGTTTTTTTAGATTTTTTGAGAATTATTTTATATAAACTAAATTGGGATTGTCGAATACCCATGGTACATATCTGGACAGTTAGCTATCATGCGTGATTTCAGATGAAGCTAACGATATAGATGTCCTGTACATTAGTTTGAATAGAAATGCACAGTTTTCCAATCACTTTTTATCCGATTATTCGATCATTTCTATTTATTTAATAATTCCTTTGCTTTTGGATATTACCATGATGTCATTCTCTTATTATTTCGTACGGAATTATTTTTCAATTACACTGTAGCAATTACAATGTATCGTGCTATAGATGTACTAGGCGAAAAAAATGAAATCTTTCGTAGGCGTGCTGGTGATCACGACTTGCAATACCGCTGTTTACTTTCAAAAATGAATTTTTCTGGCGATCAACGTTTGAAAACAGCTATTGAGCTAGTTCATGTAGCTGCTAATTTAGATCAGCAAGCATCCTTTGAAGCGAAATTCATTTTAGCTCAGGTACGAATCATTTCAATTTTAACAAAAGTTTAATTTTATCATTTCGAAAACTACTCGTTTCTCTTGTATTAATATTATTTTTGAAGGAGAAAATTAGAGCGAAAGATTTTGTTGGTGCAAAGTGGGATCTGATTTCAATGTTAGCTTCCAAAGGGCATGAAAAATTGGATGCTGAGGAGCAAAGATCTTTTTATCAAACATTGATAACAGGTGATTTTTTTTTATTTCATCAATAGGAAATTGAAATTCAAGAGTTTTAACTTCTTAGCGAGATCCGTTAGTTTCTCTTTTTGTCGTTCACCTTTCAGTGTTTTCATGATGAACTTCCTTTTGGAATTTATGGTTTTATCATTCATTTAAACATTGCGCACCATTACCTGAACTATTCATTACTGCACACTTTCAACAGAAATTTCGGTCAGCCAGTCTGCCAAATATTTTAAGCTCGCAATTTACGATCTCCTCTGTGTTATTTAAGTGGATGAAAACTAACTTGAAAAAAATGAGATAAAAAACTACTGTAACTGAAAACTCTAAGCTGAAATTTAGTATGTTATCACTCAGATTGCATAATCTTAAGTTCTGGCAATCAACAAGAAGTTTTTTCCTGCATTCTACTTGGATTACGATACTCTGAATTCAGCTTATTAGAAATGCAGAACATCCTAACGACACTGTCTTGTTTTCAATGAGCAGGAAATTATAACATTTTGGAGTGTCTCATGGATTGTTAGATGCATTTCAACGAATTTTCAAATAGTTTCCGGAAACACTTCACGCATTGCAGACTTCTGTTTCTCAGTTACCGTACATATTTTCGGTCTTTACCTTTATCCCGTGTTTTCTTGGTTTTGTTATTTCATCCTTTTAGTCTACAAAACGATTGAGCGATTGAGAATGCTGCCAAATGCCGATGAGCGTCTCAAGATGAAGATCAATGAGAAAGTTGCAGATAGCTTGTATGAAGTATACCTTATTCAACATTCATATAAAAATCTTTGAATGAAGAAACAGAAAGTGATTTCGATTTCACAAGAACTACCATTTGCAGACAGGATTTTGTGAAATATCGCTTGAATATTACAAGCAGATGTTAACTTATGCTTGGCAAACAGAGGATAAAATTAAAGCTTTGGTATCTGTAGCAGAAACAGCCAAGGAGTTAGATCGTTACGAAGAGGCATTTAATTGCTTTACTGAAGTTGAAAATCTTGAAAACACTTTGAATATATGCAGTGCTAAGGTATACACTCCAATTTGCATTTAATTATGTTCAAATTTAGTTTGAAAGTTGAGTTAATGCTGGGAAGTTGAATTAATGCTTTTTACATTTCACTTTGACGACATATAATTTCTCATTTTACATTTTTTGTTTTGACAGTTCTGAGTTTTTTATCAGATGTACAAAGTGTGTCTTAATATTAATCTTTCTACGCAAAGTTTTTCCTCAGTTAGGAAAGATAAGCTTTGTGAAGGTAAACAGTCTACAAGGATTGCATGAGGTTTTGCGAAAAGCGCGTGCAGGAACAACTGAGTAGATTAATACTTTTAATAGCAGCTAACCTCGAAATTCGAAGTTTAATCAATTTTAATCTGATTTTTATCATCTTAGGATTAATCTGAATTACGTTACATTTAGAAAGCGGATACAAGTCTTTGTATTGCTAATGTTGCTGCTAATATTCATTCTTTTACACCAAAGGAAGTTTTGGAATTCTTCCGGAAATCCGAATGTCTTGCTATCTACAACCATCAGAAAGTAATTATTTTCATTCATAATCTAATAAGATATATTTTAGAAGTTCAGTTAACCAAATTTTCATGTTTAAAAAATTACTATATAATATTTTCCAGCTTGCGTTAAAATTCGGGGATTGATATGCTGAAATCAGAATGTGAACGCGAAAAACAGTTAAAATTTAAAGTAAGCTGATTATAAATCATCAAATGATTTGGTTTTTTAGAAAACCTTGTATGAGAACATGGTAGCATATATGGATAAAAATGATGTAGGCGAAGATTTGCGTGTAGAAATTGAAGCAAAACTTGTCTGCCTCAGTAATGATCCAGAAGACGATGATAGGAAATCGGAAAGTGATGAGGGAAATGACGAAAACTTCGTCGATGAATGGGATGACCTGAGTGATACACAAATTTTGGCTCGTTGTCATGGTTAGTATTTCATTTCATGTTATTCAAAGAGACAGATTTTCGATACTACGGAGTTTATCCAAACAAAAATGAATGGACATGTCCGCTCCAATGAAATAACTGTGCCATGTGCTGTATGTTTATGTACATAAATGAGTAAATGACACAATGGCTTTTAATATAATATATAATTATTATTTAAATTTGTAATATCTAAGAGGCAACGCTGGTCTTAGCTATAATTATGCAGTATAATTAGTGGTTGTTCGTGCTTCACTAGTATTTCTGCAAACTTGCGTAGTTTACACTGTCCTGACGCTGTCAGACGTCATAACCGCGTTACGTATAATGTATTGCTGCGACTAATAGTTGTATCACGTCAGACAGATTAAATTATATTTAATGATTTCTTTTTTTTTTTCAAATCTTCGTGATGTCCTCAAATTTAGAGGAAGCGAATCGTCATAGTATGGAAGAGCGCATTCGATCCGAGAAAGATAAGAAAATCAATTTATATGGTGAAACACGGATGCATGAAGCTGCTCGCGGTAGTGATACCCACTATTTGAAAATGCTTATCGATATGGTTGGCTATAATTTTTCTCTATCTCTAAAAATACCTTCTTTGCAGTTTATTGACAACAGAATTTATCAATTGTTAATGGGTCTCTTAAATTAGGTGCAGTATGATGGCTCTCTTGATTAGGCCCAGTGTTTATATCTGATTACGTCACTCATTGTCTGTAGTCAGTATCCAAACAATCTTGATGTTCTCATTTTTTTCTCGAAAATCTTTTGTCCTTTGCAATTAACTAAAATTTTGACTGCTATGCTTCTGAAGGTTTAAAATTTCTAATACAGTCATTTCTCTTTCTTCTTTTTTAAATTTTGATATTCTTTATATATAAGTGGAGTTTTTCAGGGGTACAATATAAATGCTCGCGATGAAGGTGGCTGGACACCGTTACATGAAGCTGTTGGAGCTTTAAAATTTGAAAATGTCCGAATTTTGGTTGGACACGGTGCAAATCTTGATTTGCGATCAAACGAAGGGACTTTATCAGCTGACGGAGAGCGAACGGTAAGTTTAGTTTTTTGCCTGTTCCAATTTGTTTACAGTAACTATTGATTCTTTTGTTCATTCGTTTTAAAAATTTATTAATTTATTAATTTGGAAATGTAAATGAAATTTCGTTTAATCCTAAATATCTAATTTAACTTTCGAAATCATGGCTTATTTTATTTAACATTTAAGGTTTTCTTTTTTAGTTTTGGCCTTCATTCATTCCAAAATTTTGAGATTTCCATTCCTACTAGACCAAATATATCAAAGTTGGAGTGAACTGGTGGGGATGGTGTCGCTTTGCCGGCGATTACTTAGGTATTCTGTGTTTTTTATTCCTGGGATCGGGGAGCTTTCCAAGTTATTTTTCAGGATAGCGGTGGTCTAACTCCGTTAATGGAAGCATGTGATCGAGGCGCCACAGCAATCGTTGATTTATTACTAGGGTTTGGAGCGAACGTTGCTATTAAAAATTGTGACGATTGGACAGCGCTTGATTTTTTTCGAAACGCAATGAAAATGGGGATGGTTGAAGATGATGTTATGGAGGAAGCCAAACGACTTATATCAATCATGGAAACTAGGCTAATCGAAGGTACGACAATTTATTTATGATATTTATGTGTTTCAATTACAATGTGACGCAGTTTATTTCCTTGAATTCTTTAACATCAAATATTTAGCATCGAAAGTTTTTGAAATTTGTCACTTAGTTTCTAATTTTTAAACTGAACTGCATATGCAGATATTTCATTTCAAATTGCCAAAGTATCAGAAATTTATCCACTGATGTATAAGTACTTGAACAAAAAGCTTCTAACTTAATTAAGGTTGGGAAACGTTTTTTGATTTTGCAGATTTATGTCAAGAAGTTGTTCAAAACAATTTTATTTACCCGACAGCCATCTCTTTAAACTGTTTTCTCTACAAATTACTGAAAGTTTTCGCAACCATTTCCTTGAACTCATCTTTGATACGCAATTTTTTGGTGTTTTTTGTACCAGCATGTCTAAAATTTGAAGTTTAGAATTGTTTCAGTGAACATAGCAATAAATGCTGAGCCACCACCGAAAAAGCTCAAATTAAATGATAAAACCAAACCAAAAATACATTCGAGTGCTGCATCTGGAAAAATCCTCGATCCAAATGTATCAAATTTGCAAGAATATCGGAAAACGATGAATGTTGTCGGACGTGGAACAACACATGATCGAATAAATGTTCTGCTGAATGGATTAGATACTGATGATTTGTTTGATGAAGTTATTTTTGTTTACCAAATTCTTTTGAATCTATATGACGCATAATATGCTTTCAAGTAACTTGATGGACTTTTCAGAATCAGCATAACTTGACTTCATGTCATAGCTCTGTAAATGTCCAATATTAGCATATAATGATGATAATATCTTTATCCTACCCTTTAACTTACATATGGCTAACTAAGATTCACTTCCTACTTTTTTCAAGAATTGAAAATGTTATCTTAGAGCCAGATTTTAGGATGAAGAGGATGAAATATGGCATACAAGACATTCATCGCCAACGCTGGATGATGCACTTATCGGCGTTGATGATTTCACTGGATTTCCTTCTCCTCATCGGGCTTCATCTTCGTTTTCAACCAGTTCTTTGCCTCCATTATTAAACAAACAGAGAATTGCGAGGACTGAAAGTGGTAATCTGTTTTTCAACTTTTTTTCTTTTTCTTCTCTAACTCTAGCGATATTTGTTCCATGCAATAAGTTGGAGAGAACATGTATAAATTTCAGGAATCTTCAAGGTTTATTTGAGAATTTGGTTAAGGATTGATCACTATGGGTTCATTTAATTGGACATAAAGATTCCAAACATTTATGGAAGAGATTCTGCACTTTTTTCAAAATCCCAAATATTCACTGAAATTCATGTTACTTCAGAACGAGAATCTGTTTCAGCGAAAAAGGCTCCTCAAGTGACGAAAAATTTTTCGACTGATTTTTGTGATGAATTGTCGCATCGTTCTGGTTCTACTTTATTACCTGAACCTTTTGTCACTCCAGAATTGGGGCAAAACAAAAGAAGCCGGTTAAGAGTAAAGAGGTCGATATTTTGTTTCTGAAAATTTCCCCGAGTAGTTGAAATATGTGGCTCTTCCTGTACAGCTTGGTATCGTTAAAATCATCCCGTCAAGTCTTAATATCAGTTAATTTTGCTTCATGTTTGAAATGTACAAAAATTCATTTTCAGAAATATCGAGGAAGATTCAGATGATGATATAGTAATCTCATGTCCAGTGGTACGAAAAACACAAGCTGGAAACATTTCAAATATCGAATTACAACCTTCTAAATGTTGCAGCATGGGAAACGCAGGTGTTTTTAGCAATCTGCAAGAATCCAAAACACCGTCATCATCATCTTTTGTGTCATCAAGCATTAAAAATCAAATTTTTATCAAGATTATAATGATGAAGGATGATGGTGCACATCTGAAGACTAAAGGGATGCCCTTTGCAAGGTTTACAATCATTTTTAATATGAAATCTTGCTGCATTTTATTATCGGAACTTTCCGGTTTATCATCCCATTAATTGTTATCGAATACGAATCTATGCTTTTTTTTTAGACAAGAATTGTTTTTCTTTTATAAGTGAAGCCTTCATAAGAATATGTCGGGTTTCTGTCATCTTTGTGCTGGAAAGCGAAAGTTTTTCTGTGTCAGTGGAACGTCAATGGAACCTCACTATTTTCCTGTAATACAGCAATATGATTTCAGTTCTTGCTTCATAGGCGATATCCGAAAACGTTGTAAAGAAGAACTAAAAGGTGATGTGGAATATACATCGATGATAATATGTCACGATGATTGCGAACTATCAGATGATACACCAATTGAATTGGTATTAGCAGATGACAAAACATTGAAATGTATCATAAGTGGTTGGGCAAAACCGTCCGCTGCTCAAATTTATGCAAAACGAACGAAAAGTAACTTGTTTAAAATTTTTGTGTAAAAATGCTACTTTTCAGTGATCATTCCATAATCACTATAATAGCATTCCAAGCAGAACAATTTAGGATGCAAAGTAATTATTTTTAGAAGATTGAGAAACTATGAAAAACCAAAGAATTTTCGCTCAATTTACATTACTCTGTTCAACTTAACTTTGGCCGTGCTTGTAAAATCAAATTTGCTTGCGTGCAGTACGGATCACTTTATAGGATTAATGGCAAATGTGTTACATGCATTTGTGGAAAGTACGAGTGGCTCATTGGATTTACGTGAAATGAATATTGGTCAAGATGATGCCGTCTGCTCAGCTGTTGAAGTTTTGCAATCAAATCTACTAGAACTTTATCTGGATGGCAATTCACTATCAACTTCGTTTATTGATTTGGTTTCAAAAATCCTTCGACATCTCACATTATTGAACTTACCTTGCTGTGCATTGAAAAGGTACGGCTCAGTTTTGTCAAGATTTAGTTTCGATAAGTTTGATTTATGACTAAGTTACTGATAGGTTCTTTCAAAAGTTAAGCCCTCAAGCAATCCGTTTTTTGCTATCTGTGATGACTGATGAAGTTATCGCTAAGAAATCATTTGATTTTACTTTAATGATTTTTTTTCCTAAATGATTTTTTCTGTCTTCTTAAAATTTCTGGACAAATCAATCTGATAATGAATTGGAAAGGAATTATTACCTGTTCTTCCACTTTATGGGTTGTTTCTCAAACATTTAATTTCCTAAAGTGTTGTAAAACGTTAAATATTTCAGTAAGCACCTTCGAGAATTGATTGGTGATTATTCTGTTTGTGATGCATTGACCAAGCTAGATTTGAGTTATAATAATCTCAGTGATAATGGTTCCGATCATCTGGCCACTTTTATTAGCTTGTGTCCGAATCTTATTGATCTTAAACTTGTTTCTTGTAATATAAGCCGAAGCGCTACGAATTGTCTAATACTACAGATTAAAAGTAAGCTTTAAATATTTAAAAATTAAAAACTTTTACTATTCACAAGAAATATCTTAAATATATCTATGCCATGGCTTGTATGGTTTAGCTACTTAATCTATATTTGGTTTTATTTTAACCAACTATCTTTAATCTTATACTTTTTTAATAGCTAAGCTGTATGTAAATGTTTCGTATAGAGAGGTCTATGTTACAGAAGTCAAGCTGTTTAGAAAAAAAGAAATATACTAATAATTACATTTCCACGTATTTTGGACAATAGGATTTATTCTAATTTAAGGCTAACTGGCAGCAGTTTTATCTTTTTGCTAACTTCCGGATCAGTCCTCTTTCTTTTCAGAAATAATTTCATTGGAATTGCTGGATTTAAGTTTCAACTCGGAAATTAATTCGAATCACGCTTCAGAAATAATTCAAGCTTGTAAAAGCTTAAAATATTTAGATCTCTCATGTACAGCTGTATCCAAGATAGATATTTTGGTAAGAAGAGATTATTCTCCTTCATTTTTATTATTTTTTCTCCTGAATCACTGGTATTTAGTTTACGAATTGTACGTTTCGGCTTCTTGCATCAATATTCAATTATCATTGCTAAAATTCTGATCCAACCTCAATTCAGTAGGGTGTCTTTGCAAGTTCATAAAATTACGGGCTTATTTAATTTGACGCATAAATTTTAAACCATAAGTTTTCATCTATATAATTTATGGGTCTAAGTACTTCAGTTAATTACTTTCTTCCTGATTATTTCATGTTTGGGATAAATGTTTTTTCAACGAGAGATGAAATACCGCTTCTCTCAAATGTATTTGTTGACATACGAAATGATTTTATATTCTTATGAATCTCATTGTTTGAAATGTCAAATAAGGCGTTACATTTTCCTCAGTAGTAGGTGATGGATGCTTTGTTTCAATTTTATTATCAAAAATATCCGACCAATTATTATGGCCTATCCCCTAAGATAACTTTTTGCGAACACGGTTTTGGAGGAATCCGAATAATTCACTTTTCTAGTGTTTTTGTGGTCATCTACTTTACTGCATTCTAATGAATCAGTCGATAAAGTCTACATCAGAAATAAATCGCTTGCTTAGAACAAGCAGCACTTCAATGATTGTCTTAAATTTTATCGATTGTTCATCAATTTCAGCCAGGAGAGGAGAAGAAATTAGAAGTATTGAAATTACCTCTCAATAGTTTACATAATCCGGATTATATAATACAATGGTCTTTGACATGCTGTCCAAATATGCTGTTGCTGGATTTGTCTGCAACAACAGTCGTTCCTTCGGTCGTCGAACTTTGTCTCAAGATTAAAGCTAATAAGGTATCTTCGGTTTTACCTTCTAAAATAATTTGTGGACTCCTTAAACTTTTGTATACTGATGAAACATGTCAAATACCTCAAATTATTTGTGTTAAGAGTAGTATTAATTCTATAAGATATGTTTTATGAATATTTTGTGCTGTAAACAGCAAAATTCGTTATTAATCTCCCGACTATATATATGTAGTTAATGTTTTAAACTTTATGTTTTTATTCTAATTCTTTAATTCCAGCTGAAGGGAAATGGTCACTAGTGTAAAATTCAAATTCTTAAATGTTCGGTTTAACTGAAAACGTTACGCTTTAGAAGAGCTTAGTCGGCAAAAATGAACGGAAAGCTTGTGATAATATAAGGATCAATGTTTGATTTCCAGTCAAATTTTGTTCTATTTCAGATGCCTTTCACAACAGTTTTCCTGGCTGATTGCAGTTTGCTTGAAGCAAACCCAGAAGAAATAGTTGATATACTTAAAGCAGCCTTAATTACAAGCAGTACTGTAAGATTTCAATTTAGCAATAAATTTCGTCGGAAAATTGAAGAATTGCTTCCGGATTCATATAAATTTTGTTTGAAATAATCGCACTGTATATATAAATGCTATTGTCGAATAAACGTTTTATTTCGAAACTGTTAAATTGGCTAAAAACTTTGTTTTGCTGTATCAGTTTGGTTATCTTTTATGCTAAAGTTAAATAAAGTTATTGATAATTTCTCCTCCTGTGTTGCTAAACGATGAATTATTGATCGGATGTGTACGATTTCATTTATCTTATCTGTCTCGTGAGTTATCGATGACGACACATTTCTCTGCAATCTACATGTAGTATTCTTTTATATATAATATTATTTTCAGCGAAGTTGCCAATCAATTCTAACTGGGTTTGGACTGAGTTGATGAGCTTACGAAATTGATTAAATGGCTGAAATTCATCTTCCTGGTGATATCCTTTCTCTGGTAGTTCCTGGTAAGGGACGGACAGAAGTTGGTTTCTCCAAAAGTTTTAAACGTTTCAGTATGCTAATTTACATTTGTCTTAGACATTATTTTGTTTGGTAACATATTTCATGTTTTATTTATTTGATACATGTACCTTTATGTTCTGATCAGTTCATATTCCTGAAACAAACGCATATTAGATCATTGGTTGTGGTCTAGAACGTGTTATCAATAATCCCGATCAATTGTTAGTCGTACAACCGGGAATACGGCGTGTATCGCATGGTAAACAATGGATGGCGGTTCATTCACGAAGGTTTGTCTTATCAGATTTGAACTCTGAAAAGCAAACAGCAGATGGAATTTCATTTTTTTTTCTAAGATATTTCATATTTCAAAATTGATTTTGAGCAGAAAGTGGTTTGAGAATGGAAAAGATGAAATGAATGGGAACAAAAATTGATTATTTGAAAAACGAATTATTTCAGGTATGTTCCACAGAAGGGTGATTTTGTAATTGGAATTGTTACTTCTGTGCATGGTGAAACATTTAAAATTGATATCGGCGCTGCTGACATCGCTTTTATTAGTTTCCTTTCCTTTGAAGGTTTAATTTCACACTTGACTTCACTACATTTGAATATGTTTTTTTGCGTGGATGATTATACTTTGTTAGATATTTTCGAAATTAATTTTAGAAAAATCCCTAAATAGAGGTAAATCAAATTAATTAAAATGCGAGTTAAGGTTTGATTCATTAAGAAGTTATTGATGTGAAGAAGTCATCGTGATTGCTCATTATTAAACAGACTGACCAATATGAATGAGGATCGTTCGTGGAGAACATAGGCATAAAATGCAGTTTCGGTTCTTTAAGTGGTCTAATTCTTCGATCAAATTTTTTGAATTCGTTCTAACTGTATGTGATTTTTAGGTGCCACAAGACGTAATCGTCCAAACTTAAAAGTTGGTGATTTAATTTATGCATCTGTTACTACTGCAACAAAACATCTTGAACCAGAGGTACATTCTATCATCAAGCTCTATAACTTGCCTTTTTGATCGGATACATATTTATCACTATCTTGGATATAAAGTGGGAAATGATTTAAAAAATCATAAAAATATAACAGCAGAGAAAGGAGAAGTAGTAGATATTGTTTCGGGCAGGAAACGATCCTTTTAATGAAGTGTCAAGTTTCTACGGAAAAGTTATGGTTTCCAGCTTACATGTGTTGATGGCGAGGGTCGAGCACGTGGTATGGGTCCATTACCATCCGGTGGATTTTTGTTTAAAACAAGCCTAAATCTTGTACGTCGAATTCTTTCACCAACTTCAAAGCTGTTATCACTAATTGGTAAAGATATAAAATTCGAAATAACAAGTGGCATTAATGGACGAATTTGGATCAAAGGCA